GTGAATTTTGATGGAAAAAATCATAAGAAAGGTAAATGATAGGGAAAAAAACAAGGGTAAGCGGGGTGTATTGGATTATGATTTAAAAAGATTTTTTTGAGATAATTTTTTTTATAGATTTTAAGACACTATTTAGAATTGGAGGGACTTTAAAGACTTTTTTAAAAGATTTTTTTACAATCAAGATTTCATAAGATTGAACTTTAAAGAATTTTAATAGAATTTATAAGATTTGAAATGACAATATGAATTTATAAGATTTTAAAAAATCATTTGAAATTTTTAACAAACATTCAAAATTACAAGAGTCAATAGGTTTTTTTTTAAATGCAATAATACTAATAAAAAAAGTAAAACCTAATGTAATTTTCTCAATCAGTAAAACATAATTTGATTTTTAAGAAACATTCAAAATTCACATGAATTGTTAAATATTGAGTCAATATGTTCATTTTAAAGAAAAATAGAAATTTTCATAATATAAACCAATTTTCGTTCTACATCAATGAAACAAGATCAATTTAAAGGAAAATCAAAATTTTCATAATATAAACCCTATATTTCGTAACAATACATTCATGAACGAAATTTCTTCGCTATAGAAAACGATTTCAAACAATTTTTGTGTCAATAGATAACTAATTTTTTTTTCAAAAGTCGCAAAGCAATTTAAGGTTTAGGTATATATCGATTGAAAATAATTTGATTTCAATTTAAAGTTTAAAAAATTTCTCAAATTATTTTCAATCGATATATACATAAACCTTAAATTGCTTTGGGGCTTTGAAAAATAAGTTATTAGTTATCTATTGACACAAAAATTGTTTGAAATCATTTCTTATAGCGAAGAAATTTCGTTCATGAATATATTGTTACGAAATATAGGGTTTATATTATGGAAGTTTCAATTTGTCTTTAAATTGATCTTGTTTCATTGATACAGAACGAAAATTGATTTAGGGCTTTAGTTCCCCTTTTGTTTTTCCACTATTTTATGTTGTTTTAAATACAAAAATCATATTTTTTTGTGCCAAGAAAAATTGCGACCCATAACTTGAAAATTTATTTTTTAAACTTCTAAAAGCTCTAAAAAATCTACTATTTTTGAGATGGATTATATTAGAATCTTGTTGGTTTGTTGTTTCTAGATTATTTTGTGATGAAAATCGTTCAAAAATATGTTGTTTTTGAGCTCTAACGAATAACCCATGGCGAAACTCAGTTTCGAGCAGATTAACCTGCCAAAGGAAGAAAAAGACACTACAATAGAGAAATCTCAAGAAATCCTAGGGGTTAGGGTGAGATTGTTAGAGAGACATCTTATTTATATTTCTCATTAAAAAGTCTCACAAAATCCACAACAATAGAAAATTCATAAGGGTATTGGATTGGGATTTTAAAGGATTTTAATGGATTATTTTTGGACAAAAAAAATCCATTTGTATTCAATTAGGATTTTAATGGATTGAAAAAAAGTCATGTGGTATTCGATTAGGATTTTAAAATATTATTTCAGAGTCCGTTCAAATCCGTTGGTATTCAATCAAGATTTTAAATAATGAAAAAATAATCTTATGGTATTCAAAAATCTAACGATTTTAATGGATTTTCTATTGGTGTGGGTTACATGAGACTTATTAGTAAGAAATATAAATACGATGTCTCTCTTAAAATCTCACTCTAACCCCTAGGATTTCTTAAGATTTCTCTATTACAGTGTTTTCTTATTCCTTTAGCAGGTTGACCCGCTCGAAATCGGGTTCTGCCATGGGAGCTTCGTCAAAACTCAAAAAAAGCATATTTTTAGCGATTTTCATCAAAAAATAACCCAGAAACAACAAACCAACAAGATTTTAATATAATCTATCTCAAAAACAATATATATTTTTTAGCCATTTTTGTGAAATTTTGGAAGTTTAAAAAATGATTTTTCAAGCTATGGGTTACGATTTTTCTTAGCACAAAAGAACTGGTTTTTGTATTGAAAACAACATAAAACAGTGGGAAAATAATAGGGAAACTAAAACCCTCAAACCAATTTTTTTTTTTTTTTGGAGTTACCCAACCCTAATTATCTCTTTGAGACGAGTTGGCTCCCTCCGGTATCCCCACGAGCATTGACTCTTTGAGCCGGCTATGGGACTAATCCGGAGTGCGAGGGAACAGTGATGCCTCAAACCAATTTTTGTTGTACATTAATGAAACAAAATCAATTTAAATAAAGATTGAAACTTTTATAATATGAACCCTATATTTCGTAACAATACATTCATGAACGAAACTCCTTCATTATAGGAAACAATTTCAAATAATTTTTGTGTCAATAGATAACTAAAAACTTATTTTTCAAAAGCCCCAATCAATTTAAGGTTTCAATGTATCAATTGAAAAAGATTTGAGAAATTTTCTAAACTTTCATGTAATAAAACCCATAAATTCAGATTCAAAATTTTCTTAAAATATTCAATGAAAATATGCATATGATATATGGATAAAAAACTCTCATCACGTAAAACAAAAACCCCAAGGTTTTTAATATCAATTGCAAAAAATTTCAAACGAAATTTTATCATGAACTTTAGGTTCTTATGCAAATTTATAATTATTTTAATAATTAAAAAATTGGGACTTATAATCATATATGCATAGCTTTGATACTAAATAAAGAAGATAATTTTCAACCCATTGGTCAAATACAAAAGGAGGAACGAGAAAATGCTAATGCATGGAGAACTAGTATAACTTTAGATATGTGAAAAACTGTCGTTTAGTAATTTTGAATGTTTGTTAAAATTTTTATTATGTTTTACTGATTGAGAAAATTATATTAGGTTTTACTTTTTTTTATTAATTTCATTGCATTTCATTGTTATTTTTTTATGGGAAAAATTATACTTACAACATATTTTTGTTTAAAATCTTTTACAATCATATCTTAACCATTGATTTTCGTCAATCAACAGTTATTATTTTCGCAAATCAAACTTATTAATTAATATTTAATTTTCGGGGTGAATGATAACCGTTGATTGAAATAAATCAACGGTTAAGATATGATTGTAAAACATTATAAACAAAAATATGTTGTAAGTATAACCTTATCCTTTTTTTATTGACTCTTGTAATTTTGAATGTTTGTTAAAAATTCTTATGAATTTTTAAAATCTTATAAATTCATATTGTCCTTTCAAATCTTATAAATTCTATTAAATTCCTTTAAAATCCAATCTTATGAAATTTTGATCATAAAAAAAGTCTTTTAAATTTTTTTTTAAAGTCTCTCCAATTCTAAATAGTCTTTTAAAATCTATAAGATTTTTTATCTCAATTTTTTTTAAATCCTAATTCAATACACCCCTTAAAATTGTCAGATTTTTGAATACCACAAGATTATATTTTCTTTATTTAAAATCCTGATTAAATACTAACAGATTTGGATGAACTCTAGTATAATATTTTAAAATCCTAATCGAATATTTTGCGACTTTTTTTTCAATCCTTTAAAATTTTAATTGAATACCAATGGATTTTTTTTTCCAAAAATAATCCATTAAAATACTTTGAAATCTCAATCCAATACATCCCCCTAAATGGTTATGGAGCAAACTACATATGGAAATTTAAAATTTTTCCAATTACTAAATAAATATATTTCTACTATTCAATTATAAATAAATCAAAATTAAATATACATAAAAAGGAAATTATTATTATTTAATTACGATTTGATTACGATCTTATCAACATCAAGCTCCCTTGAAAAAATTAAATATTTTTCTAAAAAAAAAAATGATTATGGATAAAAAAATATTAAATATAATTAAAATTAAAAAATTTAAAATATTATAACCTAATAGTTAAAGAAAATTTAATAAATAAAAAATTTGAAATCAATTAAGCTTGTAATACTTCATAAATTTTAATACTCAAAACACAACAATATTTGAAAACATAACCCAAACTTAATAGGACATAAATTTGATGGAATTTTTTTCTTCTTAAATTAGTGAGTTAAATAGTTTTTTATTTATTTATTCTAAACTCTAATAATTTGTTCAATTGAAACTTGGACCGAATTCCTTGATAGTATATCCTTATTTCCATCACATGTATTCATAATTGACTTTTTTGCAGTCAGCTAATTATGAACACCAATTAAAAAAGCATTTTACCTTTTTTTTTGTTTTTTTAATATGATAAAGGAAGGAGCTTTTTATCAAACACAGCCGTGCGATCAAAAGAGTGAGGACGTGTCACGTAAAGGAAGCCCCACCTTAACAAGAATAAAGAATACATCACCGTAGAGAATCCAAATTCCAAACACTAGAACCCAGTTCTCGAGCTAGCTGGACAAAACGCAACGGAGAGAATCACGTAGAGATATAATCAAATAAATAGGGCAGGAACAGGAAGGGTATATCACAGTAATTAAATAAAGAGTAAATACTTTTGTTCCTAACAAAAAATACGGTTCCTATTTTAGTACTTACAAAAATAAATTAGTCAGTTAGTCCTTAACAAATTCAAAGTGGACCCATTTTAGTCCTTTTGAGGGACTAATATGGGTCTTTTATGAACTTGTAAGGGATCACGATTTTAACTAAATGTGTCTACTTTGAATTTGTTAGAGACTAATTTATTTTTATAAGGGATTACAGAGGGAATCATATTTTTTTGTTAGAGATCAAAAAGAGTATTTACTCGTGAATAAAAATACGAGGGTATTGAGTGGAATTAGAATACTTTGAATGACAGCGACGCATATAGAGAGAGAGAGAAGCAGCTGCCAAAAAGGCCAATCCAATTCCAAACAAATCCCTTCTCTCTCTATAAAAAGACATCTTGTGGTTTTCTCTGCCCCTCTTACCCTTTGCTCCCTATCGCTCCCGCTCTCTTCCCGTGTCTGTATCTGTGTTATCGTGCGCTTCTCGAACAATCTCCTCCTTACACTTTTTCTCTTCTTCTCGATCTCACCGCTGTAAGTAATGGAGTTCTAAATCTATCATCCTAATCTCTCGATCGAATCCAATTTTTTTTTATTTTTCTAGATCCCTAATGAATTCGTGGATTATTATGTTTTGCTATATCGATTTCATCAATCGTTTTTATCACTCGCTAATTTGTTTGTTCTTTCGTTGTTTTTATTGTTTGAATTCGCAATCCAGCTTTGTCTTTCGGTGTTTGTTGAATTTTGATTTTGTTTGTTTTGAACGATTTTTTTTATTAGGTCTGCGACTGTTAATTTTTCCCTTTTTGTTTGTCTGATTTTATTCTCTGTTTAGTGTTTAGTTGATCTGCTGTGTCTCAGTGACGTATATCAATCTGTTTAAATCTGTGTTTCGTGGTGGTAGTAGTTCACTCCCCTGGTGTCATTATTTTTTTGCATGTTGAAATTTGCATATCCTATAATGTATGTTTTTTTTTTCCCGAGTTTTCATTTTTGTTGTTGGTTACAGTATCCTAAAGTGACCGTGTATTGCATTAAGGGGAACAGGTAGATGATAATTTACGCTAGCATAGTTTTTGTTGGTTTTCTGAGGAAAAATAGTATTGTCGCTTCACTGAATGCAGCATTTTTTTCTCTTTCTTTATCCAAAACTTTTAAGATATAAACTTAGGCTTAAATTTGTTATGTGTATTGTTTATAACGATCCCTTGTCACAGTGCTTGCTTGACAATGAGGTGTGTTTCCTGGTTTACTGAATTTCCATTCAGGGCAATCATGAGTGACGAAGGTGAAAGGACTTGTCCTCTCTGTGCAGAAGAGATGGATTTGACAGATCAGCAGTTGAAGCCATGCAAATGTGGTTATGAGGTTTGATTCTGTTTCTATGTTCTTGTTATTAGGCAATAATATGAAGGTTATGGTTTTTATATAACCCTTTGAAGAAGAAAATGATGTTTTTTAAATTACTTAATTTCTTGATCAACTTGGTCACTTTTTTTTATGGTCTATATATTTTCCTCCCTGTTGTTTTTTTAACATTTGGCATTCTTAATTGCTTAGTTTTTTGCTTATTTGTAGTCATATGATAAGAACCTTGAGGTGCACCATCCCAAAAGCTAGCTCAAAGGGTGGGAGTGCCCAAGACCTTATAAACCCCACATTAGTTGCCCATACAACCAATGTGGGCCTTCAAATTCCATACCTTGTAAATGGGTCCTAACATTCCACCATGCTTCGCATCCCAAGCCCGGGTTCCAGTTCCAAGTTCCAATCTGCGAAACATAGTGGGTGCTCTGATACCATTTGATGAGAACCTTGAGATGCACCACCCCAAAAGCTAGCTCAAAGGGTGGGAGTGCCCAAGGCCTTATATACCTCACATTAGTTGGCCATACAATCAATGTGGGACTCCAAGTCCCATACCTTTCAAATGGGTCCTAACATCTTTTTGCATCCTGTAACTCTGTAAAGTGGCATTTATTATTGAACTCAGTATACAATGTGTTATTAGTTATTCATTGTTAACTGAATACTGTGGTCACTCTTTAAAGTCCAAACTATTTAGTACCAGTGAGATTTTTTACTGGTTATAAAAGTGTTACTTCTTCATCTTTTGTAAATCAATGTGTATTTAAGACATAGATACTGTTGTTGAGTTTTTGTTTCCTGATGATATGCCTTTTTCTTAATCATTAACCCTAGTAATGATGAATGCCAATTTCATCTCTCCTTGACTGTAGATATGTGTCTGGTGTTGGCATCACATAATGGACATGGCTGAGAAGGATGACACAGAGGGACGATGTCCTGCGTGTCGTTCTCCATATGATAAGGAAAAGATCGTTGGGATGGCTGCAAACTGTGAGAGGTTATTCTGTTAACACTACATTTCTGTAGGCTTGAAATTTTGTATTGTTTTCATAAGCCCTTTCTTCCTTTTCATATTATGCATCCCTGCATTTGTACAATTATATCTCAAAACAAGTCTTCAAATACCTTATGTGTATAAGAAACTATGAAATAGTTATATTTTACGTTTAGGTTTTAGATGGAACAAAGGAAAAAATTAGTTATTAAAATTTTTGTTTCTTAGATATTATTATTTAGAAACTTGTTTAAGCTACCAAACTGGGCCTCTTTTGTGTGTTTCTTTCCATTAGATTGGTCGCTGAAGTTCATATGGAAAGAAAGATTAAGAACCAGAAATCAAAGTCTAAGTCATCTGAAGGGCGGAAGCAGCTTAGCAGTGTGCGAGTGATTCAGCGGAACCTTGTGTACATAGTGGGATTGCCTCTCAATCTGGCAGATGAAGATGTAATTTTTACCTCATCTAAATTCAATTGTTGTCATCTTGTGTACCTGGTTCCTGCCCCTCTCCCCTGTCTTTTCATATTTTTCATATTTTCAGTGTAAGTTTTATTTTTTATTTTTATCACCATTTATGCAGCTTCTCCAGCAGCGAGAGTATTTTGGTCAGTATGGGAAGGTCTTAAAAGCATCGATGTCTCGGACAGCAGCGGGTGTCGTCCAGCAGTTTCCAAACAGTACATGTAGTGTGTAAGTTTATGTTCTCTGCAAATTTTTCTGGCTTAGTGTTTTCCTGTGTTATTGTGCACAATTGTCAATAGAAGCCGTAGTGGCCATCATAGCAATATAGCCCAGTGGCTCTTGGCCCCTCCTGAATGTTTGTAACTTGTATTAGTTTTCACTGTTGTGGGTTGTGGCCCATAGTGGCCACTAGTCTAGTGGGAGCCAAATGCCCTGTTTTAACCTCACTAAAACCTACCCCCTTTCAATAGGCTGCATAAATTAGTGACTTCTAGGTCAATTGACACCCAAAAACTAATCTAGATATCAGAAGTCATTTTGACAGAGCATTGCAAACAGCAGTTGTTTATGTATGTGTCCACCTTGTTTCTGTTCTCTTCAATCCATATTCTTGTTCGTGAGTCACTGTAGTTGTGTTTGTAACAATTACTTCTATTTCTCATAATAATTTAGTTAATCTTGATCTCTTTTTTTTCAAGTATTTCCTACACTTATTTCCCCTCTTCCTTCTTTTCCCTTTTACAATTTGTTTTCTTCATGGTATGAAGTTTTAAAACTACTAGGATTATCAATTATCCGGTTTTTGAATTTTTTTGAAGTTTTTAATTGCAGCGGCTTTCTTTGCTGTGGCAGCTCTACGATCTGCTTTGTCACTAGCTTTTTTGGCTTGGCCACTGTACACTGCATTCAGCCATTAACGTCATTAGGGTTATGGTTTTTTGTTGCTAGCTTGTCATATTGGTTGCTATGGGAAATAGATCTTTTTGTGTCTGATTTGTTGTCATTCAGGGGAATTTAAAAGTGCAGGAGTCTACAGAGTTACTATTGCTTTTCAAATACTTCTCTTTAAACCTTGGATGAATGGAAATGACCAACAAAAAGACTTTATAAAAACAATTTTTTTCTGGGTAAAAGAAATAGAAAAGGCCATTTATACACTAAGCATGTCCTTTTATTAAAAAGACAGAAAACAGGGTTTCTTTTCTTGTCTCTCTCCATTATATTCCCTGCTATGTCAGCATGTTTGGTTACCTTTTTTATAATATATTAAATGTTCCAGCTCTTAAAGGCAGTTTTTTTGGTTTCAGATATATTACTTATTCAAATGAAGAAGAAGCAATTCGATGTATTCAAAATGTACATGGATTTGTTTTGGAGGGAAGACCTTTAAGGTACCAATATTTGCAGTCATTGAAGCTTTTCATGTATGGGATGATTGGCCTGTGGTTCTTTGCTTACCAGTTCTGTATTATTTTGGCTTGTACATATGCAGGGCTTGTTTTGGAACAACTAAATATTGTCATGCATGGCTCAGAAACATGGTCTGAAATTTACTTATTCCTATGTAGTTTTTTGACTTCTTCTTTAATTAATTAAGCTTTTAATGGAGGTAAGATTGTGATAACCAGCCTTGCAGCAATCCGGATTGTCTATATCTGCATGAGATTGGCTCTCAAGAAGATAGTTTCACAAAAGATGAAATAATGTCAGCATACACTAGGTACTTTTTCTTGTCTTAAATGAATATTGATACGGGGTCTATTTTGATTCTGTTGAAAGATAAAATCTATTGTTGAACTTGGGTGTCTATGATTCTGCCATTCAGTCCTTTTAATTGGATAAAGTAAAGGAGAGTACTTTACCTTTATTTGCTTAAGCGTATTTGGAATATCTTGTTGGATGGTTAAATATTTAAATATTGCAACCTAACGATTCCTTCCTTTTAGAAATTAAGGAGAAATAATGAATGATAAAGGCAATGATTGTGGTAATTAAAACTCCTTGTGCATTGTAATTGTTTTTAACAGCAATTGGCAAGCTTGAACATAGTTTTTTTTGCAGTTAATTATGATTTCATCCATTTTTGAAATGAATTAAGGTGGGGTATACATTGGATAAATCAAATTATGTTTCCGTAATTTGTATGTTTCTGTTTGCAAATTTTCTCTTGCTTGAACTGCATGTAGTGCTTTTCATATAATGGTCTTTGTTATTTTGAAGAAGTCGTGTTCAACAAATTACTGGTGCTGCAAACAATATACAACGGCGGTCAGGGAATGTATTGCCTCCTCCATTGGATGATTGGACGTATAATTCTTCAGGAAAACCCATTGTGAAAAATTCTACAAGTGTAGGACCTTTTTTCATGCTTCCTTTAAATGTTGCTTTGTTATATTGCCTCCTTTTTTGGGTGTTTGCTTTTACCATATCCTTTTTGTGAGCTACTTCTAGGAAAATTTAATCCGTGCACACTGCAGCTGAACATCTTGGTACTAACTTTTTGTTTTAATTATGGAGCAGAACACTGCTAGCATTGTAAGAGGTTCAACTCCTAATGGAAATTCTGGGAGGCCTATAGCTCTTCCTGCTGTTGCATGGTAATGTATTATTGTATTTGGCTTTCAAGATTGAAGTAATTTAAAGGTAACTAACATTTCAACCTGTGTTTGCTAGGGGTACACGGGCTACAGATTGTCAGGCAGATGCAGGAGGTCCATTATGTCCAAATGGACTGTCCAAGCCCAAACCTGATACAATCAGCAGCACACTACCATTTTCCTCAGCTGTTGCTGGCACAATTCAGGCTTCATTGAATAGTGATGTGACAAAGAGGCCATCATCTAGTGAAGGGAGTCACAGTATGACGCCTGGAGTAAAAAATGAATTATTGAAACCTGTTAAACAATACAATAGCATGGAATTTGAACTGATGTCTAGTGCCAGCGAAAAAACTGAAGTTGATGCTTCTCTTGCACCTGTGAATTTGAACAACCAGTTGTCTTCTCTACCGTTAGCCACATATAGTGATAGAGGCAGTTGTACTACAACGAACACAAAAAATTCTATTGAGATCACTGGACAGCCATGCAGCTTTGGTCCCGAGGAAGCAATTATTGCTACCAATGAAGAGATTCAGAATTTGTCCTCTGAGTTGTCCTCTGTTAACATTGGTAGGAATGCCCAAAATGAACTCTACGGCCCAACCAAACCTTGTAGCACACCTTCTGATTATGTCTTGGTCAAACCTATGCCATCTCATGGATCACAGCATAATGCTGACGTACTTAGAGATGGAATTGTTACAAATGCGGCCAGTAAAGCTGCTACATCAGATAATGAGGTTTGTAATTCAAAGGAATGGTGTGATTTGAGATTGGATTCTATATCTAAACTAGTATCAGGCAAGGCTGAAGTGGAAGATGATGTGACATCTTTTGATAATCAAAGACATAAGGATCCAGAAGTTGTTTTTCGTTCTTATTTGCCAAAGTCAGTGAGTTTCCATCATGCCTCAAACCATTCTAGTTCTCATCTTCTGCAGCATGATGAGCCTTGTACTGTTGTAAATGCTGGTTCTTTAGCTGCAGATGATAAAGTTGGGGATGACTCCCTATTACATGCACCTAACATATTATATAACGGATATCCTCAGAAATTGGCCAGCACCAGTTCTTATGGTTTGCTTCATGATGAGAGGAATGAGCAATGCTTTGGAAGATTAGTTAATGAAGCAGGTAATACTGGAAGTGATGCTGCTATTGATAAGGGTGAGAGTAGTATTATTTCAAATATATTGTCCATGGATTTTGATTCCTGGGATGACTCACTAACATCCCCTCAGAATTTGGTCAAGTTGTTGGGCGACAACACTGATAATAACCGGCATGGTCCTCTAAAGAAATCTAGTTCATGGAAAGTTCAAAGTAACAATCAATCAAGATTTTCTTTTGCAAGACAGGAGGAATCCAAAATCCAAGCCTTTGGTGTACATCCACCATATGGTGCCAGCCAGCAATTTCCAAAGAGTCGCTCACTCTTCCAGGATTCTGCAGAAAGGGACTTGTCTATGGACAAGTTTGGTGGTGCAAATGGCTTCCCTGCCAATAACCTTGAGGAATCTGAAAATCTAGGCAATGGTTCTTTTGTTGCTTCTTCTAATAAACTTTCTGGTGAGTATTAATAGTTACTTAAATTGGCTTCTAAAGCTTTTTATATTAGCATTTCTTATCTCTGCCATTCATACTTGAAGATTCTTCTTGTTGAGAAACATGTATTTGAATTTTTTATAGTCAGGAGATAACTTCATAACCAATTGCATTTTGCAAAAAAAGCTCTACTCTACATTGTGTGTGTGTAGAGTAAAAAATTGAGTTTTCATCATTATCGAGAAAATGACAATTGCTGTAGTGCACAGTTATAGCTTAAGGTCAACTGTGGCCTGGCTTTTCTCTGTCTATTTAAATGTTTGGATAGCATGATTTTTTCAATTGGTCTGTGGTTTATAGTAGAGCACTGATTTTGATAAGAATTATGTCGCTGATTTTAAAGTAGTATAACAGCTTCTAAAGCTGTCATTTCTTTGTATAGACATCTAATGTTCTACCTTTATTATGGTTTTCAGCTGTTTCAAGAGCACAAATTTCAGCACCACCGGGATTTTCAGTTCCAAGCAGGCCACCGCCTCCTGGTTTTTCCTCTCATGAGAGAATGGGGCAGGCTTTTGACTCCATTTCTGGTTAGTTATTTATTCTTCCAACTTTTACATGTCATTTTGCATATTGGTTGAATATAACTGTTATCCTTTTGACAGGGAATTCGTTGCTCGACCATTCTTTATTACTGAGAAATTCATATCAGACACCCTCAACTGGAAATATTGGTGGTGCAGGAGACATTGAATTTATGGATCCTGCTATTTTGGCAGTTGGTAAAGGGAGACTTCAAGGTGCATTAAACAACCAAGCGCTAGACATGCGATCCAATTACCCCCCACAGTTAAATTTCTTTGAAAATGAGGCCCGACTTCAATTATTGATGCAAAGATCTCTCTCACCACAGCAAAATCTTCGATTTTCTGAAATTGGGAATTCTTATTCTCAGATTAGTGATTCTTATGGCATTTCTCCAAGGTTAGATCAATCACAAGTCACTAATCTGGCTTCGTTTCCTCAGTTGTCTCTGCAGCAGTCTAGAAATGCAGTCATGTCGAATGGCCAGTGGGATGGCTGGAATGAAGTGCAGAGTGGAAATAGTCTGGGTGTGGCTGAGCTTTTGAGAAATGAAAGATATGGATTTAATAAGTTTTATGGATATGATGATTCTAAATATCGGATGCCAAATTCTGGGGATATGTACAACAGGACATTTGGGATTTGAATTTGTTGGCTACATTATTTTTCTTAATGTTGTTCATTGTAAAGCAGAGTCAGAAATGGACAAACACAAATTTTCTCCATTGCCGAATGCGATGTGGCCGATTCATGATATAGCTGGTCTAGTGGTCTACATAATGATGAAACTCTCAAGTGTAATTATAGCTGCAGCTGGTAATAATTCAAGATTCCTCTTTCTTGCTTTTATTTTTATGATTTAATTAGCTTATAATGGCTTGTCCATTATTTGTTCATGAGAATGTCTTCAACTACTTGTCTGCGAATACTAGAAACTATTGTGCTTCCTTTGGTACTAGGCTTCTCTTGTCATATGTCAAGTATGACTTTGCTGTTTGCTTTTAAAAATGTAAGCACTCAATTTCTCCCTTTTTTTGATGTAGTTCTGGATTTGAGGATGTGAGAGCTGTGTTGAGATTCAAGGTGGCAGACCGTAAAATGATCTAATTGGCAGGTGCATCTTAGTTTAGTGTTTTCTCTTGAAGTACAGAGCACAATCAAATAGATGTATCCTATATCATTGGTATTGTAATCTTTTTTGTTTTAACCGACATTGTGGATATAGATAGAGGTTTGATGGGATTGATTCGGTGGAAATAATTTTTGCAGCAGCTTTTTATCTTGGCAGAGTTTGATATTCATATTTGGAATGAAATAGGCCACTTTTTAACTGGGAAACTCCTTGTATGTGTGACGCTGTCGCTATCTGGCAAATCTTGTGACTTTTTTCCCGGAAGATCTTTTGCTGCTGTTGCTTCTTTTCTTTGTGCATAATTTTTTTAATGGCAGTTAATCACTTTTTGTATACACAGCAGGATAAGAATTCGATGTCTTAAGCTATATTCATTTTTTCTGCTAATTGTCCTGTTTTGTTTTGTTTGTTTGTTTCTCTCTGCTTTTTGTCTTGTGATTTTGTAATCGGTTATGTGGCTATATAGCATCCAAAGTTATCAAACGCGGATTTTGGCATTTGCGGTCAATAACGTAAAACATTATAGCGCTATAGCTGGTTGTGATATCGGAAATAGCGGAATAGATATATGGCAGAAATAATGATATAAAAAAATATTTTTTTAAAGGCAGATATAGCGTAAGTGACAGATAGAGAAGAAGATAGACTAAAGAATCTTTAAAATTTTTTTTGTTATACATTTAAATTTACGATAAAATTGACATTTTTCCTTGTGATAACAATATGATTGTGATTTGGCTGCAAATACGTTCGCAATAGCTGCTATTACATTCATACGTAATTACTATGATAGTATCACGGCATGAGTAACTCATGCCACTTGATGGATGTCTGTGCATGGCTCTGTTAATACATTCAATTTTCTGCGTATTTTTAAGCAACTGAACATCTTATATGTATTTTAACATAATCTTGGGGACAGTAATAAATATTAATTGTTCAAGGGTTGATTACGGGTGGTTAGTGGGATGGGTCATTAGAATGTTACGCTTTTTTGTGGGTCTCTTCATGCTTTTTATAAACAGTCACTTTGACGGTCTTTGATTATTTTTTGCTACAAATGTTATGGCAGGATATATATATATTTTTTTATGTGGCCGAAACAATGGGATTTTTATTAAAATCCCGATTTGGAAGTTAATTGGGGCGTGGAGGCTGTGGCATAGCAGCACTTGGCCTTTTAGTGATGCTCCATTACTATTTTCAGTTGTAGTATATTTTCAGTTATAGTAATGCTATACATACAATTATTTTTGCACGGAAACTATTCATTTAATTTTACATCTGGAATTGTAGAAAAGTTCATTCCTTTGACAGCAATTAGAGTTTATCTTTTGGTTTAAGGCTCAAATTCATTCACAAATTAATAGTTCAACCTTTGTTATTTTCTTGTGTCGTATTGGAATGCAATTCAGGAAACCCTCTCATTGAGATGCTGCTTTTGAAATCACAATTTAATGTCAACTAAATTTGCAGTACACCGGTCCTTTTAAAGACTGCTGGTGAGATCACGGTGAGAATTGTGCTGTTGTGAATAGTTAGTTACAAGCACGAAGTTTTGGGGATAAATTTCACCAGCTTACAAGTCAATGTTTGGTTAAAATTAGAAATATAAAGGCAACTTTGGTTTTAAATATTCCATCAAACAATTGCAAGCGTTGTGTTTTTAGCTAAAATTTTGGCAGAACAATCCACTATTTCGAGAAAAGTGTGCTTCCTTGCCAAATTATTAGAATATCTAGTAATTGTCCGAAGGAATAAGCGGTTGGAAGATTCACTCATTCAAGGGTTGACAAGTTTGTCAAATCATTTGGGAAAAAATTCAGGTTATTTAGCATTTTTCTTGAGTAATGTAATCAATCTGTTCCTAACAATTCGGTATCTGTTCTGGTGGCAACGCAGCTTCAAAATGTTATTTTATTATTCTTTTTTGATTTAAAATAATTATTTTTAATAAAAAAATTGGGAAAGTAGCTAACAAAAGTTGATTTTAAAAAAATAACTATATTCGATTAAATTATTATTTTATTTCATTAATGTTCTTCCTCATCCTATTTAATAGGAATATTAAGAAATAAGGATTTTTTTTTAAAAAAAAATGTTTAACAGTTTTTTTAAATTGATAGGGTATTATCCATTAGCATTATTTGCACACTTGCGCGTTGGCTTACACTTACACATTGCATCTAAGCCTCGGTCAACCCTGCTAATTTGAACTACAAACTACATAATTTAAGTTTTCTATGTGCAAGTCATTTCTCCATTTTTTTGACCTATCACTACAATGTGGATTGACGAAAGGACGCAAATTTCATATTATTTGACATCTGGGTACGTAATAATTGCTGTGTGTGAATTTTTTGAAAAAAGTTATGCATAATTATACCGTGGCTTTATCTAATTTTGGTTGGAAAAAGTTTTAGTACTGCTACTTGATGAAATTTGTATGTTTAATAAGAAGAAAATAGAACTGGTATTTAGAATTGAGTCTCCCTAGGCAAGCAATGGGAACAATTTTTGTTTTTGGGTAGTACATAGTTGAAAAGGGAGAACGAGAATTGCCACACAAACAACCAGAACTATCAGCTACAATATTCAGAAATGAATTAACACCGAAGGGTCCAAGCAATCAACACTATGCTTATCCAACAGAGGTCAGTGTACTAATATAGTCTTGACAAAGAACGTGTGACATATAATGCGGTAATACTAATCTTTGTTGTTAATATAACATTATTATTAATTTAGAATGGTAACGCAATGCATATTGGTGAAAATAGCTTTCGGTAATCCCGTTTCAATAACCGTGTTATATGACAATTTTTTTGGGAAGAAAGCGAAAATAACTTTTCAAATATTAATTCTCTTTTTTAATTAAAAGGGTTTCTACTTTTATGCTAAGTTAAGGGTAGTTTTGTATATAATAATATGATCATGCCGTGTCTTGTAATTTCTAAAATTTGCCAATTATTCCCGTCTCTGTTATATCCAATATGTCTTGTATTGTTTTTTGTTTTTCCTAGCTAACAAACCAACTAATTGTGTTAATGTATTTACTCCAACTTAAATTTGTGGAAAAAGGAATCAATCATCAAGAGAGCAACTTAATGAAGTTTAGTTTCACCGACTAATCTCTGAAATGAATTCACGATGTATAACCCAACTACATATAAAATATGCTTACCTTGCCTGCATACAGTTACACTTGGGGAGTTTTAGGGTCCATTTTGTTAGATTGGGAATTTAATTCTTCATCTACCACGGTCCCTGCGTCTATTTTTTTGTGTGGTTGTTTTTTAGCGAGAGTGGCATGCTGTATGTTTGTCATAACAATGCTGCGGAGTAATGTTGGATTGAGATCATGGCGAATTGGCATGGACTGCAGCTAGCACCGCATATTATATGACCGGTGTGCTACTGCCAGAGCCTAGAGGAGAGAGTCCCAAAAAGCGACAATATAATAATAATGATAATAATAATAATAATAGGGAAAAATGTGTATCCTTTTGAAGGATGTAAAATTGTGTCATTTTAAGTGAAAGAAAGAGATAGATAAAGGAGGGGAGAGAGTGGACAAAAAAATATAAAAGTGTCGGTCCTACTTCTTTGTGAGAGTAAAATGACATAAGGTGTGTCATTTAAAAGGACAAACACTTTTTTCGTAATAATAATATCAAGCTTGCTTTCAATTTCAAGTGGGAACTGAAAGTTAAATGAGTATTACTTGAAGTTCAAGCAACTTGCTCATGAGTGTGAAAAACAAAATATTTAATCTTTGTTCTTCGTTGCGGAATCCGTAACTCTTAACGCCTCTTGAGTTATTCCTAGAATCTACTTGTTAAAACACATTGGGGTTTAAGATTACCTTAATACTTGAAGGCATCAAAGGGGATGATGCCCTCTAATAGTGATCCACACGGCTGCCTCTTGGATTTTTTGTGAGAACTCCTTCTCCTTGAATCCTCCTTCACTTGGATGCTTGCTAGGCAATTGTAAGGTGGAAGCTTCAAGTGTTTGGTTTAATTTTCTCAAGACAATGACGGTGTCTTGAGGTTAGGTGATAGGGCAACAATGGAGGAATGACTTCTTGATGCAAGTGTGTTAGGCTCTAGGTTTTTTAGATGGAACACATAATGGGGTGCTTCTTTTTAGCCCATTATTGATAGATCCAATCCTAATTTGAATTGCACTAGGATACTCTAACTTCAACAAGATCCATGATCATCTTTCGATTGTATCCTATCATATAGTTGGAGAACTATTCTCCACATTTGAATTCAAAATTCAAATGACTTAGTGAAGGCACTACTTGGAATTCAAAATTCAAAAAGATTTCTTGAATCTTATTGAATTTTTTCCTAACTTGAATTCGAAATTCAAGCATCATGGATCATATCCATGATATAAAAAAATTTCCTATCTCATCCAATCCATTGGTTGTTGCTTCAACAATGATATCCAATTTCAAATTCAAATTCAATCTTGTCCTAGTTCATAATTTAAATTTGAATTTGAATTCAAAATTCAAATTCAAAATTCAAATTCAAATTTCGACTTAAACTTATTTTGGCCAAGTCAACTGTTTGACTTTCTAGAATTCATGACCCAAGATCCTATTGGGCCTACTAATACATTTGGGCCTATTAGTGAAGAAA